CGTTGTTAGTCCGTTTTTTTTAATTTGCATGGTAACCCTACTCATATTCGAACTCCTTGGTCTTCATATTTGCTATTGATTATGATTTCATCGAACTCGTTATTTGCTTGCAACGTGTCTGACTTCGCCGTTCACGCCTTACTTTCTACCATTACAATGGGTCCCATTGGTGGTTTACTATGGATCATTTCAAATCTGCTTTCTGTTCGAAATCGGACAATGCCGTGGATCATTGATACGATCGCCCCAAACTTCCTCGTTGCACTTCTTCCGAATATGATGTTGTATGGTGACGCTGATTGCACGATTGTGAAAGCTATTTTCTGTGTATTTTTGGCTTGTGTTAACTGGTCCATTAAAGTTAAGGGAACATATAATATCCCTTTTGGCCAAACAAAATGTCATGCGAAGCTTTTTAAATGCCATATTGTTGCATCCTATTTCTTATTTGTTATGGTAGCTGCGAGAAGCAATGGTAATACATGATTTCGGTCGAACTCCCACTATCACTGCCCATATATAAGTATTGGCCCATCTTCTTGGTGATTGGGAATATGGTATGTTTCTTCATCAAACAGATTGTGTAGTTGGTCGATATTTTTGCCTACTAAACGCAACGGGCAGCTCATTTTTGTTGCTTTCTTATCTGACACCTTGCATTGCGTGTTTTGTTAAATTTTTGATATGGCTACCGAGTATTTCCTCTGTTTGTTACTTCGTTACCCTTGTAATATAGATGGCGCCAATGTTGGTACGACGAACTCCAGGTGCATACTTAGCTCTTTCACCCGAAGGGTCTTGGTCCAATAAGAGTCCGAGAATACACTCTGCGTAAGATAAACAAAAGCTAGGTCAGACAGGCATACCGAGGGTCAGACCCCGGTATGGCTCTCCGATGCCTAAGTTAGATTGAGATTTCTGGTGTTGCTTTGGTGCTAAGAAATATATGTTCTCTCTTCTTAGCTCTCCCGATTATCATGTCCCTGGGGGTATTTATAGACTCTCCGTGGTTAGAATAGTCCATATCCTTAACCGGTCCTCTACCTATTATCCGGTCAATGAGCAGGCGCATTCCATGTCCTTTCCTTGTCTATTTTATTTGCTTCGTACTATTTTGCATATTTCTTAGGATACGTTTCCGATGCTTGCGTATGATGTATTCGAATTCATATTTTTCTGAGGCAAGTGGCGATGCATGTAACGCCGACCTGCTGAGTGCCGGGTCGGTAGTGGGTTTCCTTAAACTACTGTCCTGGTACACCATTAGCTAGAACCTTAGCTGATAGTAGACATGTTTTGGCCCTTGAACAAAGAGATGTATTAGTTAAGGATAATGTACGTTTGAACGGATTAATAGAAAACTTTATTCTACTATGAAACGAATTGAGCAAAACAAGCATCTCACAAATAATTTTCAATATCCTTGGTCTAAATGAGGAAGTCTCGGTACAAAAAGTCATACTCCACTGAAAGAAATAAAGGAAAACTGTGGAAATTTTATGGGAGATATTCCAAAATTGGAATATGATGATAAAAGAATTTCAACAATTGATTATGAGGGAGTACCGGTTTTCAATCATTTTCAAAATGAAAGTTTAGTTACAAGTACCTTTGTTGTTCCTTTGTGGTTCCTTCTGAAGTGATTCAAAACGTTTCATTCTCAGTTAGTTTTTTTTCTTAATTTTTTTAAATAAAAGCTACTTATTCACCACTCATCCTTAATCCAAATTAGTAACGATAATTTTATTTAAATTCAGAGATAATCTTTGTTACACAAAACTAAACAATACACGAAAGGATGCGACTCAATCGATTTAGATAAAATTTCTAGGAATACTTTGATAGCAAAGATGAGGGGTCGAAAGCAGATCAATTTTCTACCATCCAAAATGGAACAAAAATTTACATATAAAATTTAAGTCTCAGTTAAAACATCTCAAATACAACATACATGTTTTGCAAAACAAACGTCGTCTAAGGTGCTGTTTATTTTTTTGAAGCAAAAATTCATGAAGTCTGCGGACCACCTCTGCAACCCTCTGCAGTAGAAGAGGTGGATCAAACGGCTGCAGACTATAATAAGAAGCGTGTTTATTTTTTTAACATCTGCATGCTGCTGCAGATATTAAAAAATTAAAATAAACTGATTTTATAAACCGAAATAATTTTTTTTAATACTGAAAAATTAATAATGTATGACATTTCAGCAAGAATTTATTATATTTCAGTAAAAATAATGATATTCAACAAAAAATAAAAATATTGTAACAAAAAATAATGATATTTTATCAAGAAATTATCATTATTCAATATAAAAAATCAAAAAAGAAAAAAAAAAGAATTTAACAAGAATAAACAAAAAAAAACGAAAAAACGTAAAATAAGATTTCAACAACATATAATCAAGATTTCAATAAGAAAAAAAAGAAGAAGTTGAAAAAGGCAATACAAGTGCTGCGCCAAACAAAACACGCGCAAATGTTTTTTACTCTGAAGACTTCTAAAAAACAAATAGCCGCGAGATTAAAAATGGTGCGCGTGTGCTGCACCGCGCAACAATAAAATGTCTGAAAATGTTTTTAAAAAAAAAAAAATCGCCTAACTAACCCTTTATTATCAAAATACAAAGAATCTATATTAGAATGGAAAATATCTAACGGTAATACAATATACCCCAAATTCCATAAAATTAGAAACATATATATTTTTATTGAATCTTTGTAGGTAACAAAAACATATTTAAAATAACAAAATAATTCTCAAACAAATGACACCTCATCTCATCTTTATGCAACGGCAGGCATATCCTTCAACCATGGATCCAATGGCTTCCCAATAGAGTACACCACAAACCCAATCTCCCTCAACTCATCAGCCTTCACCACGTTCCTCCCATCAAACACAAACGCCGGTTTCGGCATGCTCTCATAAATCCTCCGGTAATCCAGCTTCTTAAACTCATCCCACTCCGTCAGTATACACAGCGCATGAGCACCCTTCGCCGCCGCATATGCATCCCACTCCACACTCACCTGCTTCACCGAGCTAGGGCTCATCGGTTGCAGATGCACCGGGTGGTCCCAATCAAACTTGTTCATCGATAAGTCTCTCTGAATCTGATCTTCAGTCACCTGTGGATCGTATATGCTCAATCGAGCTTTATCCCCCAGCAACCCTTTGCAGACATCGATCGCCGGAGTTTCCCTCGTGTCTCCGGTGTCTTTCTTGAAAGCAAACCCTAAAATCGCAATCTTCTTCCCGGAAACTGTGTTGAACATCGATGAAACAATCCGGTTCACAAATCGGGATTTCTGGTAGTCGTTCACTTTAATCACTTGTTTCCAGTAATTTGCAACTTCCGGTAACCCGTTGCATTCGCAGATGTAAACCAGGTTTAAGATATCTTTCTGGAAACAAGATCCACCGAATCCAACACTCGCGTTTAAGAACTTAGATCCGATTCTCGAGTCCTTACCTACAGCATGAGACACCTCCGCCACGTCAGCTCCGGTGGCCTCGCAGAGCGCTGACATGGCGTTCACCGATGATATCCTTTGTGCTAAAAAGGCGTTAGCTGCTAGCTTTGACAACTCCGCCGACCATAAATTCGTGCAGATGATCCTCTCCTCCGGGACCCAATTCGCGTAAACGTTTTTCAATGCTTGAATCGCTTTCTGCCCTTCCGGCGTTTCTCTCCCGCCGATCAACACTCGGTCAGGGGCAAAAAGGTCATCTATCGCGGTTCCTTCCGCGAGGAATTCAGGGTTTGAGAGGATCTGGTAGTTGATTCCTTTGCTGTTATGAGTGAGGATCTTCTCGATTGCTTCAGCTGTTTTCACGGGAACTGTTGATTTCTCGACTACAATCTTGTCGGATTTTGACACGTCAGCAATCATTCTTGCCGCGCTTTCCCAATACGTCAGATCCGCCGCCTTCCCGGCGCCGAGACCGCGGGTCTTCGTCGGAGTGTTGACTGAAACAAATATGATGTCAGCTTCTGCAACATGCTTCTCGACATCAGTGCTGAAGAACAGATTCTTCCCTCTGCAAGATTTGACGACGTCGTCGAGCCCGGGCTCGTAGATCGGAAGCTGATCGCTGTTCCAGGCGGTGATCCGAGAGACTGAAATATCAACCACCGCTACTTCAATGGAAGGGCATTTGTGGGCGATAACCGCCATTGTTGGACCTCCAACATACCCAGCTCCAATGCAACAGATTTTTCACCATTTTTGTAGAGGAACTATGTCCTGAAAACATGATAAACAAAGGGGTTTTGTTAAATCTCATCTGCAATTCAATTTGACTGGTTTTCCTTCAAAATTTAGAATGAATAATATTGAACAGAAACAAGCTTAGAACATACCATTTGCTAAACTAGAAATCAAAGGTGGCATCTTTTCTCAAGATTTTTTAAAATTTTCAGCAGAGAGTTTTTCAAATTTGTAAATTATGTTTTAATGGTGATCAAATTATTATAAAGAAAAAGAAGGTATTAAACAAAACAGAAGAATTGAAGTAAGAAGGGTATAAACTTGATGATTTATAACTATAAGCTATATAATGTAGAATTTAATCAAGAAGACGTGAAAGAGATGAAGTTTTGGAAAACCAGGACGAAAATTTTTCACCTTGTGGGGAAGAACTTGCAGTGAGGTGAGACAAGAAAGGGGAGATGTTTTTGAATTGTACAGAAGTGGAAAGAGGAGAATGCATCTTTAAATACCCAAATTTTTTGAAGGATTGGAAACTCCAAAACTAAGCAAAGTGTCATGGTCAGATTTAGAAATCTAAGCATACCATTAAATACGTTTCCAAGGGGTACCTTTCAGTAGCTAACAAGGGAATTTTAACAGATTTTTCCATTGAAAAAAAAACATTTTTTTTTTATTTTAAAAAATATCCAAATTATTTTGTTGACTAGAAAATGTCTTTTTGCACATGAATTTGGGTTAAACCCATTAAAAAGATAAGACTTTCTTAAAAACCCAATTCAGAAAACATGATTCTTGGAGAAAATTCCATGTTTCAAAAGCACCAAACTGATACTTATGATTATGGGATACGTGTTCTTTTGTGAGGAAGAGTTGCTTTTATTAGAAGATTTATCTTTTATCAAAAACCCCATTTCACGTAATGATTCATTCAGAAAACCCATGCCCCAAAAGTGACAAAAATGTGAAACTTTTTAATGATGAAGGAAGGCATTTACTGATTTACAAACCAAGAACATGAAACTTTGGGCTTAAATCTCCATTGATACAAAAATACTTGCAAAACCCATGTTCCATAAGTACCAAAAATTGTGAAACATTTGAATAGGGTGATTACTTTTGTCGCTAGGGTTTCACTTTTACCGTTTTTAGGTTTAATGAATGAGACATCGAACGTGAATGGTGGGGGCTAAAAGAGAGCTTTAGTACAAAGGAAACATCAAACACAAGGAGAAGAAGAAAGAAGGAAAACAGTTAAACGTGTTATTATTACCTGTTAAATTGGCTTGAAATCAGGTGCTGGGTGGTGGTACTCATGCGTCAAATGCACTGCTGTTGTGTGGCACAACCTTTTCCACAGCCCATCTTGACTATTTATTAATTGGGAAAATGCATTAAAGTGAGTGTATAAAAATATAGTATTAATACATATTCATACCATTAGATATGAATTTTATTGGAAAAAAAATATTTATCCGATTTATAAATGACACAATAGTTTCTTTTTTGGAAAATACTTGTATTTGACGGTTCAAAAAAATAAATAAATAAATATATATATATATATATATATATATATATATATATATATATATATATATATATATATTATATATATATATATATATATATATATCTGTGTGTGTGTAAAATAAGTCATTCTACTTATTTTTTTTGTACGCATAAAGTCTTTTTGATCGATTACACCGATTTAGACAGTCATATTTGAATCTATGTTTGTTTTTGGTGAAATATATTACACATGTGGGTCCATATGACAACTTACGTAGACAAGCCATCTACTACACCTCAAATTAAGAGGATAAATGACAATTAAGGTTCATTTAGTGAGCCTGCATCCTTCATTGTCCCACACTACTCCATCACAATTACTCTCAATTTTCCTAAATTGCAATTGACCATGGTAAGCAATTCCAATCTTGGATGTACACTACAATGGCACGTTCGCACCTATCCCATTCGTGTATTTTGATGCAACCAAAGCATCTGTACGGGACATTGATGTGAACAAGATGACCTTCTCTGATTTTATCACCTTTTTTGAAAAACTTACCATCTGCTTTTGCAAAGATGTGTATTACTGTTTACCTGAAGTAAATTTAGCTGAGGGATTGTATGACATACATAATAAGTGTGATTTTAATGAGTTTCTTAGAGCTGTTAATGGAAATAAGAGATTGAATGTGTATGTGGACCACCTACATAAACCAGACCCTAAAGATGAGGTGGTTTCTATTGAAGATGTTGACTCCATTTTAGCAGATGGGGATAATGTAACGTCACATTTTCACAACAAAAATTTTCATTTTTAATTAAGATTAAATTTCATATTTATAGAATCCAAGTTAAGAAAACTAGTTGTTCCAAATACATTTATGTAAAAATCAAAGTAAGATAGTAAATATGGAATCCCCATGGCTGGTGATGAATGTGTATAGTCACGTCTTCGCCTTCTCACGATCATCACTGGTACCTGAAAAACATTTCATCAACAACTTGTAACATCCCAATTTTCAAGGCCAAAAATTTCATTTTTAAATTAAGTATCTCATGAAATAGTATACCAAAATATTGTCAAGTTACATCCACTTATAAAAACCATAACGTCATGATTCAAAATCACAATACCAAGAGTTATGGAAATCAGAGTACAATCCCAGAACTCCATGCGGAAATCATGTGTGTGTGTGATGCGCTGCTACACTGCGGGCTCCTTCCCCTTGGGCGAAGAGGTACCTGAAACTGTAAGCACAAAGCTTAGTGAGTTCCCCCATCATACCACATACCAAAACCACATACATATTGCCGGACAATTCTGGGGTGCCCGACCTACCCATGTCAAGCCATTCTGGGGTGCTGACCTACCCATGTCAAGCCATTCTGGGGTGCTGACCTACCCATGTCAGGCTATTCTGGGGTGCCGACCTACCCTCCGGTCTATCTCAACCGAATACGGGGACTATCTCACCCCTACCGCTAGCATATAATATCATATATGAATCATGCTGTCAGACATATCTGGGGCGTCCGACCTACCCATTGGTCCTAGCGACCGAATCGGGGACTAGTCCCCTCCTACTGATATTATCTCACATAACATAGCATATTAGCATACACATATATCAAGCACAAGCAACCCAGATGATTATCACAAAGACAATCATCACAACTAAACAACTACCAGTGGGCCGGCCTTGGTGCCTTAGACCCACTTCTACTGGAAGGTAACTCACCTCGATGTCGTGTAGTGTCTGAAATGTCCTCAGCGTGAAAGTCGACTCCCCTCGACTCCTCAATCCCTACACGACAACCCTTCTAAGTTATCAATTCGAACATGCAACCCAAACAAGGGTCAACTCAATTCCGTCAAAGTCAACATTGGTCAAAGTCAACATCCAGTTGACCTGACTCGCCGAGTTGGTCTACCAACTCGTCGAGTCCATACTCCTCTAACTCGAACCAATCCCCGTCTCTACTCGTCGAGTCTAGCAAGAACTCGACGGGTTCTTCTTCAATCATATCATCGGGGCCATCTTCATCCGACTCGCCGAGTTCGACCTTGAACTCGTCGAGTTCATCTCCCTCATAAGAATGTGTCCAGTCTATGACTCGCCGAGTTGTATGAACAACTCGTCGAGTCCATCTTCAAAGATTGGAAGATTGCCTTGGACTCGCCAAGTCTGCTCAAACACTCGTCGAGTCCCATGATTCCCAGGTCTATAATCTCATCCATCTTTGTTGAGTCCTTCTCTAGACTCAACCAGATCCTCGAAACAACAAGGGTTGGAGAACCACTATCCGACTCGTCGAGTCCCAAGAACAACTCGCCTCGTCGAGTCCCAAGAACAACTCGCCGAGTCCACTAAAGTCCATGTCCATAAACTCGATTTCTGTCAAGCTCATCTCGTCCAAAGTGTAGATCTGACCTCCTAGGGCCGATATAGCACGTAAAGCCACGAACTTTACGTCCATGCATGAGTTTTTTTAGCACTAAGGACTACAAATGATGTCTAAAAGATGCATGGGGCTCTCATGACCATAAAGTTGGCACCTTTATGCCATGAGACCCCTCCAATGACCAAGATATGAAGTCAATACTCCCTATAACACTTCACAACCCGAAAATGGCTTATAAAGCCCTAAATATACCCAAAATCCAAACCCTAGAGATAAATAAACACATGGAAGATCACGGCAGGAGCTTTTTACCTTAAATGAGCTGGAAATGGAACACAATCTCTGGATCTCCAAGCTCCAACTTGAACTCCCAAGCTCCTTTCCCCTTCTCAAGCTTCACAATCCACCAAAATGCACCAAAATGGCCTTAGAATACTCAAACAAGGCTAGGGTTTCGATATGATGTCTTCTGGGAGTATAAGGGACGATGGAGGCTGAGATAAGTTGTTTAAATAGGGTGCAAACCCTCAAATTTAGGGTTTCATACAGACAACTGCTACTCACCGAGTAGGTCACTTAACTCCCGCGTCCATGCCCGATACTACTCGACGAGTTGATCCTTCAACTCGTCGAGTCCCCTCGTTAAAATGATAATTCATCATTTTAAAAAAATACTTATCTGGAACCGGGCGTTACAAATCTCCCCCACTTATCTTAGACTTCGTCCTCGAAGTCTGCTGTTGCGAACAATTTCAGAATATTCTCGCTTCTCGGCCTCCGACCCCCAAGTCTACTCGGATTCCCTTCGACGTTGTCATTACACCCTTTTCCTAGGGTATTACATGGTTACGTAGAATATTCGCCTCCCCTACCACCACAACTATTGGTTTCCTTACGTAGTTCAGGCACTCTCCGACCTGATTATCATGCAGCGAGACAGCTGCCTTCCCATCCAATATGCGCCCTTCCGCAATAGCAAGACGTGAAGTGTACTGCGAATCTAACTAGGTTTCCCCCGGGAGATCTAACCGATGTATCATCTGGCCAAT